CTGCATGTTTATTTTGGCCCTTACCATAATTCCAATAGTTTTGATACTAGTAGTATCAAAAACACAGTTTTTTTTTAAAACACAAGGTTTTTATCATTTTGATACTGTATCCACATTTCTTGGCATGTCAAGATATACGGTAGCTACAACTTTGCACCATTGTGTTAGTAACCTTGTATTCGGTTTGGTAGATATCTTATGATTACATATGCCATCTAGCGGCCATTTAATGGTATAACATGGTCTGTCATATTGATCAATTCATGGAGCATGTAAATCCAAAAACAAAAATGTAATCTACTGTAGCTTCCAAATCCTCAGATGTGGTGGCTGCATTCTTTTTTCATTTTATGCTCCTGCCAGTACCCCACTTGCTGTTCAAGAGAAATACAATGCTCACTCACCACACTATCTATGGAGAAGCAGTATTGTTCCTGTAGGGCAGGACTACAGGACCAGCCCATCCTTCATTACATGGGGGGAGATATCTATCTATCTATCTATCTATCTATCTATCTATCTATCTATCTATCTATCTATCTATCTATCTATCTATATATACACAATCCAATGGTATGTTTAACAAACTAAAAAGGAGCAAGATAAATTAATTGTTAGGGTTTACCTATGCTTTAAAGAGCTAAAACCAACACTTCAAGTTTTGGCTGAAGTATGGGAGGTAGATCTCTATAACTAAGCCCATGATTGAGTGAAATGCGCCAGTAAGGGGCAGACCTTGGGCAGGACACAGTTATGCTGTTGTAACTTATAATAAATGGTTCCAGCATGTACCTGGTGTGTGGCCAATTTTGCTTCCTTGGATTTGGAGTGAGGATGCACTCCTGGCGGCAAGCACCTGGTTGGATTACACTGTACTAACCGTGGAGGAGTGGTGCAATTGCTTGCTTTGTAGAGTACTGGAGGATTATAACCCCTGTCAGATTGTTTGCCTTCTGTGTCCCATTGGCAGATATCACTTCACTTCCTGCCAGATAGCCACAACAGGCAGTGAGAGGATATCCTTCCAACATGAGGGAAATTTCTGGTTGTCAGCAGGGTCACCACTGGAAAAAATTTTGTCTATTCCTGTTCTGGTGACAATCCGACATTTGGGATTTTATTTACATTTAGTGATAACGGTCACCAGCAATAAAAACCTTAGAGGGGTTGCAATCCCTCCCCATGCTATCCAAAACTGGCTTCAGTTGCACTTAAACCACAATTGTAAAGCTGGCCACACACCTATAGATTATCTGCAGGTTTTCTATGGTCAGATGTAGAGCTGCAGCTAACGATTATTTTCAAAATCGATTAGTTAGCCGATTATTAGGTCCGATTAATCGGTTAAACAATAAAATAAAGTTTAAAAAATGGCTCCATGATGGTGATGTAGATCACTTCCCATTCATTCGTAATTGAGGATATAGTCAACTTTCTATGTCCTCAATTATTTACACTCAGCGATCACTGAGTGTTTGTACTGCTCTCCTTCCTGACACGCTGCCACAGAAAGCCGAGGGAGCGGAGCCTGCTGTGACAGCGTCGGCTGTCTCCGCCCACACTGCTCTCCTCTGATCCGTCACAGGAGGCTGAGCGGTGCAGGGAGGAGAGGCGCCGGCCGCTCACAGCGCTCTCCTCCCAGTTTCTCTCCTCTCCGCTGGGACACAGAGCCGCGCCCAGCGGGAAGGAGAGAAAGAATGCATGCACCGCTATATCGGCCAGAAAATGGCACAATTACATTTTTGGCCGATATGTTTCAGGGGCCCGATATATCGGTGCATCCCTAGTTTCTTCTTTATTCTATTGTAATTAAGATATAATGGTGTTCAGTTTGGTGTACTCTAGTTTCTCATTTGCTTTTTGCAATCAACAATGTTTTTTTTATATTGCATTGAATATTTCAGATTCCAAAGTTTGGAAAAGGATATGTTTGGCAGAGACATGATGGGCTATCACATACCTCTTTAGGAATAACATGCTGGTCTACTCTCCCTTCCAGCTCTTGTAGACGGGCAGAGATTGGGGTTAGCCTTGCCGTCCTCACTGTTTCGGACAATATCTGACGGCAATAGCTGTGGTAAAAAAAAAAGAAAAAAAAAGGATACCTGAGAAACTGGATCATTTCAGCTTTGATATATATAGTCTTAAAGGAGAACTATGAGGCGAGTAAAAATCACTTAGCTTCATAGTTCTAGATGACCTGTGACGATGAAACTGTCACAGGTTGGCTCAGTAGATCGGGAAGTGAGCGAACACATACCGTCGCTCGCTCACTTCTGGATCTATCCGTGCAGTGAGCCGTGACTGTCACTCACAGCTCCCTGCAGGGATTCCCCTACCTCCCCTGTCCGATCCTCCAGAGCTGACTGGCGAAACGGACGGGGGAGGGGGCGGGCACAGCTGGCTCTGCCTCTAGATAGGCAGAGCCAGCTGTCAATCCCGCAGCTGGGTGGATCTCGGCAGTAAAGTCGAGATCCGTCCTGGCTGCGGCGTCTCAGTATACTGAGAGCTGTAGCTCGCAATATACTGACCTTCGGGTGACGGGAGGTTGCTAGTTTGTGTCCTCCTGTTACCCTTAGGAGAACTATGGGGTAAAGCCCTGACCCCATAGATCTCCTTTAACAACCATGGATCATTTCAGAAAGTGAAATGTAACTCCAGTATGTTTGAGATGTATTCTAGGAATGCTCAAACTCTAAGGCATCAATTGTTGGGGTTACTGTGTTGCAATTCTACTGCAGTGAATTACCTACAAATTGATGATAATGATGTCATTGGCTAAATTATTGTTTTCTCTATAGTAAATGGTAAACCAAAGGAACAAATATTTACTCCTACAGCAAAAGTGTGCCATCTCCTCCTAATTGAAATCAATGTAAAATTTTCAAGCAACTAGTGTCTGCTAACCTTTATTTAGGCGATCACAAATAAGTTTAACCAAAACCAAAAATGTGCACCCTTGACATATTGTGATGAACTTATTCACAGAAAATGAAATTCCTATCGTGGTGAAATCAAAGCTAACCTGAGCTGGTCCAATTTCTCCACTGTGATAGGCCCTTTCCCAAGGACTCGGGTTATCTCTTTGTACAACTTGTCCTGAACACCTTCTGCAGTTGTTAGGAAATAAATGGCCCATGTGCACACTGGAAAACAGCGTCAATGAAAGGGTTAAGCATTGCAGTAATTGTTAAATGTTTCCAGAAAATGTCAAAGCAAAAAAAAAAGCCTACACTCAGAACAACCCCAAAAGCCTCCTAAACGGCAACTACCGTCTTTCCCCGAAAATAAGACACTGTCTTATATTTTTGGGGGCTCAAAAAAACACACTAGGTCTTATTTTCGGGGTAGGTCTTATTTTCGGGGAAACAGGGTATAATGTATAGTGTTTTATATTCTTGAGTTCTAACCCATAGAATGTTTGTTTTGCAGATAAACATTTATTTCATGACAACGGATTCCGGTAGCCCTAAAGGTTACCTAAAGAGGATAACAGAAGCTGCCTGCTTTGAAGCTGGTTGTGTGAAAACTGCTTCCCTTACCCCTCCCATAAGGGATGAAGCACCTCCGACACGTTGGAAAGCCTTAGTGGTCTTAGCCCTTCTCTTAACAGAACAGGAAATGATCCCATGTACCTGATGGTAACGTGAGTTAGAAGTCAGATTATGTGCCTTGATGCTGTGATAACCCTAATAAGCACAAAACAGGTCTTTAATGTTTGCACCTAGGACTAGGTTTGCAGCACCAAATTACTGATACCTATCCATCTCTAAACTATTGTGATGTTTCTGTTTTTTACCGCACTGCCCTGCAGTTAACCTAAAAGCCCTTTGAACCATGTTTCATGTTACACCCATATTTAATGTGTAACATGAAACATTGGCACTTTCCACAGTCCCCCACCCCCCAGAACCACCCCTCCCCTTTACCAGACTTACAGGGTGTTTTTCCCTGCTGGATTCTGTTTAATTTAGAATCTGGTATGACTGTGTGTGGTTCCACCTGCACAGCTGCGTCATCCATTCACAGGTTCTAATATACATTTCTTTTTTTTAAGTGAACTATGCCTATAAGAAAAGAAAGAACTGCAAAACAGAGTAGAAATTTGCATCAAGAATTGAATACTTACAATTTGCAGTTATCACACATCCTGCCAAAGAGAATATCATACTGTCTTCAAGAACCTGAAGAAGACAAAAGTCAGGTTTCAGCATTATTACTGTATCAGTCATCTGAAATTTACAGTAAAACTATAATGGTTTGGGGCCCTTTGTTTACCTGGTAAATATTTTGTATTTTCATATCCCACCAGTACATGTAGCTCAAAAATGTTTTTTTCTCATAATTACCAGTCTTTTCTACTAGCTTTGCCAAAAACACCCATTTACAGAACTGAATTGCTCTAAATTGCGTAAATTGCAATTTACATACAAGACCAAATGAGACAGGACAGTGGCTTATTTCTCTCCCCTTCTGGCCACTTGTTAAGATGACTTTATACAAAGTTTCAATCAGAGTGGGCCAGTCTAAAAGCAAACAGCTTTTGTCCAGAAAACCCATAATGATCTCTGAACTCTGTATTTATTTGTAAAACAAAGATTTTATATAAAATGATAAAAATAACTAAATCATCAGCTTAAAAAAGTATGAACATAAACAAATTATATATATTTTATGTACAAAGTCATTTTACATTCCCATTAAGAGAAAAAGAAGCAATAAAACTTCCCATAATGTTGCTGAGGATTTGTCAATTTTCCTGCATGCTCTTTGCAAAGCAGCTCTCTGCAATACTTACCCTGCCCCAATCAACCACAGACTCACTAATTTACAATCGAGTGTCCATCCACCAAATCCCACATCATTAAGCTGCCCCAAGCTTACAGAAGAATGCTACAGGGAATTGATCCACATCATTATGTGGCATCATGCCTTGCAGCAATGAGGACCCACCCAACACCGGAGAAAGAAGAAGAGGCGTCATGGCATCATGTGGTCAAAAAAGAAAAGTGATGTGTGTTCAAAGGATTGGTGAAGAGCGGGCATCTTGGAGTTAGGCTTCAAATTGGACCGGAGCTTAAAAATACATTGAACATCTGCTATACTATAGGGAACATTTAAAAATGTTAATTGTGCCTGCACAGTACCCTGACATATGTATTTTCTCAGCACTTCCTGGTATGCGTGTGTGCGCATATATATCTGTAGTGTGAGATCTAAGGTACTGTTGCCTGTGACTGGCAGTCTCATGAGATTTGGTGATGTCACCCCTGTGCTGCTCCCTGTCCTCCTTGTTGTATGCTCTGACATAAGAAAGCAAAGCCTAGCGAATCAGTAAAGGAAAAAAAGATCACCTGCAGGTCCTTTTGCCCTCTGTCTGCCCTGTTTTCGGTTTAGCTTCCAGATTTCAGTTCCACTTTAACTTGAAAATGAAATAAACATTTCAAGAACTATGAGGTGAGTGATTTTCACGCAACCTCATAGTTCGAGCCGACGTGTGACAATGAAACACATACCGTCGCTCGCTCACTTCTCGATCCTGTCCCTGCAGAGAGCCGTGACTGCCACTCACGGCTCCCTGCAGGGATTCCCCCCTTCCATCCTCGAGCGCTGACTGGCGGGACGGATGGGGGAGGGTACAGCTGGCTCTGCCCCTAGATGGGCAGAGCCAGCTGTCAATCACGCAGCTGGGTGGATCTCGACAGTAATGTCAGGATCTGTCCCGGCTGCGGCGGTCTCAGTATACTGCGAGTTGTAGTTCCCTGTATACTGAGCTTTGGGTCACGGGAGGACGCTAGTTTGTGTCCTCCTGTGACCCTGAGGAGAACTATGGGGAAAAACACTTACCCCATAGTTCTCCTTTAAATAGAGAGTAATTTCCTTAATCAGATTTATAATTAATTTCAGTAAGGTTATGTTGAATTAGGTTCGGTATCTCAGAAGTCGTGTACTGAAAGCAAGAACAGAAAAAGAAAACAGAAGAAATTACTGGCAAGCTGGCTGCTTACATACTTGCTTATCACCAAGGTTCCCTTGTAGTAAGGAGTCCACAAACACATAACGTCCAAGATTTTTCCCTCTTCGCGCTTTAATAGCTTTCTTTAACAAAGCTTCCATCTCCATCAGAGCTTAAACCGCAAAAAGGAAATTAATCAATCCATTAAGCAACAACAGTCCTTTCATACAATGTAATCTAAGGAATCCCCGCTTTCACTCAATTATACAACGTATACATATACATAGTTGCTACATAAGCCAGTTGGTAATTTAACGGAAGGGATCTGACAGGAACGATGATCAGTTGAGTTATACATGTTTGAGTCCCCTAGACAAAACGAGTTCTGAACCCTCGTAGTGTGAGGGTAGCCCCACTGCAAGGATATGTTTTTTCTATACCTAGAGTTCTTCTTTTAAAATTATCTTTCTAATCCAATCGGCAGCCAGCTATGAACTTCTAAAAAGCTGCCAAAATAAATTCAAACATATGGTTTAGATGGGAGCATGTGGGTGTTCTGTCCAGAGTTAGTCAATTATGGCCCCAAGAAATCCAATTTCCTATTGGTATGATTGACTTTCTGCTGTGTCTGAACATATATGAGTTGGAAGTCAGATTGGAGGCATCCTTTGCAATAAGAGAGTTTAATTGTTGTATGCTGTTTTTTATTTTGCACCACTTGCATCCCTTTAGAATGATAGCACTTCTAGTTCCATGCAAAAGGTAGTGACTATCTTTTGCATGGAATTAAAGAATCGATTACAGCTGAGCAGAGGAAAATATGAAAACTGGGGAAAAAAAACAAGCATTAGAGAAATAAAATTAGTTATTGCCACTAGCAACCAGATCATCAGCATCAGATTTAACAGTTTATTATAGTGAATAAGGAAACAAAATCCCGATTTGACTTTAGGAGCAAAAATGGTTTCTCTTTTTTCCCCTCCAGTTTTCATGAATCAGCTGTTGAAACACTACTGGACATAGTCCAGTGGAACCATAGCTGAAATTCTCCATTCAAGTTGTTTGTCAGAGTTCCCGGACTATTTAGTGGAAGACAGATGTTCCAGCTTCTGTGCCCAATCTGGTTACTAAGCAACAACTCTGGAGAACATCTCCTCTTCTCACAAGAGAAATGGCCATTTTGATTTTCTATGGGGGTTTGTTCTCTTCAGAACTGCTTCTCTAACTTGTATATCTTTGGAAATGAGAAAGCTGCTTGAAGCATGTCAAATGTGGGTCAGAAGGAGATCAACAGCAGATCAAATGCACGCGTCATGAATCCTGAATAAGCATAGAAAAGTCTCACACTGGTTTCAAAAGCACCTTGCATTTCCCCATTGACCCTTTTGGCCCCTAAACTTGGAGGAACAAGAGTGGTCATCTGGCAAATCAAACCCACCAAACCAACTCAGCCAGCTACTGGTGTCTGCAGACATTACAAAGTACCCACAGATGATCTTTACTGATCTGACCATAATGGGCCAAGTTTAGAAACAACTTTATGTCTTTTATGGGCTGGTTACTACTTGCTACAAAAAAAATAAAACATGTTTTCTGTGTACAATGTGCACTGATTGTGAGGCAAATAATCAAAGAATAAATACAGTAGTCATCATTCATTGTTCCTTGTTGATTTCTGCTTGGTATTAAATTGGTCCCATCAACATATAAGACACTTCTACCCTGTACATATTGCTCCTTAAACCTTAGAATGCATGAAATACTTCTCCTTCTCTACTTCTGGGTGTGGAAACCAATGCTATGGTATCCAATGGCTGCTGGTGATGTAACAAAATGATAAAGGCATTTGCTCATGTAATCTAAGTTTAAGGTAAGGGAAGATAAACTAATTTGAACTCCAAACCCTTCAGGTGACATAGTTAATCTGTGCATGGTCTTGTGTCCAGCTTCTCTGGCTTTCTAGAACCAAGATTTTTTTCCGTAAGCTTCCAGAAGAGTACTGTCAAAAAAGAGGACTCCTCACTTTCCAGATTGGAAACACAAGCCGTCAAAAGTAAAAGGATGAATTTTTCTCACCAGGGGCCAGTTCTGTAATAGATAAAAATGAAGCAAGAAAAAGCAAATTGAATAAAGCAGCAGGAATGAAATGCTGTTATGGAAGATTCCTGGAAACAGAGCAACGGGTGAGAGCACCTTCTAGTTTTCCAAGCTCATCTTCCAAGACAGCACTGTGAAAAATGAGTGAGTAACGTCTGCCTGGGCGGAAAGGGTTGAGGGGACATTAGCTTAGAAAGCTATCTGCCCAAAAGACTTCACTAAACACAAGGTCAACATGTCAATGATAAAATCAATGAGCTGAGAGTCAGACAGATATGCTCAAGAGATGCACTAACTCTTTCAGCCCCAGAAACTGACAATGCTTGGATATAATTCACACTAGAAAGGTTGACCTTGGTTCAACACAGAATAGCATTGTGCAATAGACATTATGATGCAGCAAGCTACACTTGTATTTCTTTTCCTTGGGTACAACATTAAAGGGGAAAAAAATACCAGATACCACTTCCTATCTGAGGAGCGGCACGCCTGTTCCATGCCTGGTGCAAAAGCAAACAAACAAACAAAACAAAAAAGAATAATTATATCTTAAGAACTTTGGAAGAATGAAGAAACATTCTGAGGAAAAAAAATTAAGATCCATATGAAGCACAAATTAGACAAAAATGTATATTAATGGAGAAGACTGATCTTTGATGTTTTGAGACAATAAGATGGTGACCAGGAATGCCAGGATATACATTTTTATTGTAAGAAACCACAGTAAAGATTCTTGGAAAAGCTCAAAGGGTTCTATCATGAGGTCATGGAAGACCACAAATAAATCTCAGTGTGAAAAAAAAAAAAAGCTCTGAAAGAAGCCTGGGACAACATATTCCCTTGCAGAATTATTTCACTAGAACATAGTTTGGCAAATCAAAAGTCAAATATGCAAAGAGGACTTGCAGTTGGACTGGGACGCACAAGACTTATGGCACCTAACCATGTTGGGTTTTTTTTTAGCACAGTACAAGAGAACACAGATGTAGTGTTGCCACAGTTCTATTCAGACCTTACAGATTTCTCTTCTGGGTCTTTTCCTGAAATTTGGGTAGGTCCGAATACTGGCATCTAACACTCCTTTAGACCTGAAATTTCACATACAAGCTGCAAGTGGGGAAGAAGAACAAATTCTTGATGCAAAAGATCCAGTCTGAGAGTGAGCAAATTATTGATAGGACAGACTCTGAAATACAGAAGTCAGTTTTCTTTTTTTCAGGATTTCCGTTCTTTATTTTCAACTGGTGATCTTGCAAATAATAACACCGCCAGCCCGAGAGTGGCAGCACTTACCCACTATACTTTATCTACAGAGCAGCAGCGTTATCACCTTACAATGGTCTCCTGATTTAAACAATAAACCCTTCCTCCTCTCCTCATCTCTATTTTATAGAGAGGAGGTGTTATCTAGTTTATAGAAGACTTGGAAAGCTGATAACATTGTTTGCTACATCAGTTCAGTGAACAGAAAGGATACTGGAATTCTGGCAAGAACAAGTATTTTTCTGTACTTGCAGAAAATTAGGTCAGTGAAAACTAATGGAGCCACCACATCTATGGATTGGTAAGCTGCAGCATATGAAAAATGTGTTTAGGTTTAGATATCCTTTAATACTTCTCAATACTACTTTTAAGTAACTTTTATGGTTGTGAACGCTGCATAAAAGGACAATCTTAGCGGTAAATGGAACCCTGTAAACTCACCATTTTCGTATTGCTTTTTCCGACTTGGACTCCTTTCTATTGAGCCATCAAGGAAACCTTTTCCAATCTCAGACCAAATCTAAATAGAACAGATAAAATCAAGTTTAGGTAAAACATTGTAAAATATATCTTCTTTAATCTCATGGTTTTTCAATACTTTTTACAAGACGTTTGCAAATATAACTGTGTGTGAGTGAATAGGTAAGATATCTAAAAGACTAACACAGGCTCCACCCATATCTCGGTATCTCCACCATGACTAATATACTCAAGACCTTACCAACAAACTCACGCTTCCTCTTGCCTTCCAGAGAATGCAATTCTGTTCATTCCCCTGCCAACACTATAGGGTTGATTTACTAAAGGTAAATAGGCTGTTCACTTTGCAAAGGAGTTTTCCCTTAGCTTAGTGAAAGAGGTGAAGCTCTGCTGACTTCCATCGTCCAATCTTGTACAAGCAAAAATACTGTCTTAGTTTCCATGCATGTGATTTCATATTCTTTTTTAAAGTGAATTTGCACATTTAATAAGCCATGGAACATTTTACTTGAAAAGTGCAAATTACCTTGGAAACTGAACAGCCTATTGGCCTTTACTAAATCAAGCACTATCCCCTTTGGAAGGTCCACTGTGCACCAAGGACAATGCTATCTGCTAAGCTGCTGGTTACACTGATGTGCTCAGTCCTGTGCCACTGATAGCTGACAATAGTGGAAGTGTGCAATATAGTATACTAGTTCTGCTGTCTACCACGTGTTGCCAAAAGTTAATTAACATTAGGTCAGTGTTACCAAACTGGTTCTACAAGTTTTTACCACTGACTGAGAGAACCCCATCTATGCCTTGACTTTATGCACTGTAATAAGGTAACTGTATATTCACTAAACACATGGTCTGAAAGAAGCCATTTTAAAGAACAGCCATAGACTTTTGATACTGTGGCAGCTATCTTTTATTTAATGCACCTTACAAAACATATGGAATATCATAAAAAGTCTAATCTATAACCCCACCATCACTGAATTAGGGCTTTTCCAGTTGGCAATGCTGGGAAAAGGAAGTGCTGAGTGCGGTCTTGTGATTTATCTCCATCTTCAGCTATTGTCTATCTGGTAACATACCTGAACTAAAACTCTGCGAGGAAGTGCACACAGGTGCCAGAAAAAAAAAAAAGGATTAAGAAAAAAGTGGCTAGTATTGTGAGGGCAGAGATGGGAAAATGAGAGAATGAAGCTACCAGGGACTGGGGTCAAATAAATGCACAGTACTGCCGAGAATACTGGAAGAGAAGAAACGTCCTGGGAAGAAAGATAAAGGGAAATTACTTACAATATTGCAGGGAGCATTATTGGAGAGTAGTGTGAAGATTTTGAAAACAATGCCATCTGTGGAGAGAAGTGGACAGTGCTGCTGGAGACAAGGTTTAACAGAGGATTGGCCTGTGGTGGCGACTCAGTGATCAAGAGAACAGCAGATACTGCTCCCAGGTAAAGCGTTCATGGGAAAAAGCCAGCAGTTGCAGACGTTATAATGGACGAGAGAAAGCTAGAGAGCTGCTACCCATAATCAGATATTTCTTATACTCACAACATCATGATTTTTACGGAAACGGATAACTTCTTGATCATCTTCAAAGCTGCTTCCCATTGCAGTCTGAGTGACAGATTTCATGGCGAACCCAAGCATATGCTGGCACAGGGGCACATGCTGACCCTGAGGGTAGGAAATCCACTTTGACAGCAATTCCTCTGAAAGCTGCAACAGAGAGAGTCTGAATGTTACAGTGTTACATATTTAAAACCATCATTTAAATATACAAGATATTATTTAACATTTAAATTATGATAAATGCCCTATGCCCATTAAACTTGCCAAGTTGTCCATAGGAATTCAAACAGAATGTATAATGGCTACTGAGATTTTATGATGTTCAAACTCTTATATTGATTGACTGCAATGAGATACTGTGGTCTAGGGCAGTGGTCCCCAACCCCCGGTCCGCGGACCGGTACCGGTCCACGGATCAAAGTCTAGGGTACGGGATGAAAGCATAGGTGGAGATTAGTGTGGAGTAATGAATCAGATCCTTGTACCACAATGTTCTTAAATTTTGTATTCCTATTTTTAGAAGGGCCCAAGTTTAGTCTGACAGCCATTAAAAAAAAAAAAATACCAAGAGCAGATACCATGAGATGCTGACTATGATGAACCTTATGAGCATGAAAACCTTGTTCTGTCCGTCTGTTTCTCTTAAACTAGTTTATCTCGTTTCTGGGGCCTGAAATTGCTGACTTCGGATGTAAAGCCAGAAGCTATCCCACTGGTCAGTCAAAGTGACTCAGTGGCCACTTAGGGCATGACTAGTGGGCACGGGAAACACAATTGGCAGGAATTTGGCCTGAAAAATACATTAGGTTCTTATTACTATTGAAAACTAATTTAAGAGAGGCACTGTAGAGGGTTGTCAGGAAAATAAAGTAAATGACATTAAGTTGTGTCAGCTTTTTAACAGGACTTTTACATTAAAACGTTTAAATGGCTAATTGTTTTTTTAATTATATATTTTTTTTTAACTTAAAACAATCCTGATTGGTTGCAATGGACAGACAAATTCCTCTTAAGGGAAAATCCTATTAATTAGAGGGTGCAAATACAGGGATGAGGACTTCCCTAGAAAAAGGGCTTGCTTATGCAGGAACACACTAGTGACAGAGCAACCAGTGGATGGAATTACAGGCATCCAGCACTCTCAGATGTGTCGAATGCTGAAGATTCTACCAGTGCCAGCAACTCTAATAAATGGTAAAAATTCCATTCAACATAAGGAGCAACGGGAAGATTAAATTGTGGACTAAATCCACCTTTGCAGCCAAATTGGGATAACAGAGGGGTTTTCTCAAATTTGACTGCAAAGGTGGAAATATGCTTTCATTCTTGTATTTTAAAGGAAAAGTATAGGGAGTGTAAAACATGCTCTCCCCAATGCGGGAAGTCTGCATGAGACATTGCAGCTATCCCATGCCGCCTCTAAGACCGAGGGCTAAGTGATCACATGACTGCTGATCAGTCAGCCCTTATCAGAGAGCAGTGACTACCACCCGCTGCCCCTTGCAGGGGGCAGCTGCAGGCTGGGGAGGAGGCAGGCACAGTTGGCTCTAGCTCTTAGCTGTAGAGAGGCAGAGCCAACTGTGAATTAGCCCGCTATTAGCTGACTTTGGGTCAAAGCAATATAATAACATAGAGAAGAAAGCAAAAAAAAAGGACTGACCTTATTTATTTTTTAAAGGGACACTGTTGCTAGGATACAGGTATCCTAAAGACAGCGTCTAACTGCAGCTCTCAAGTTACCCCAACCAACAGGTTCACATGGTATCTGCCTTTGACATTTTATGGTTACATGCTAAAATAAACCAATGTTTAGTACCTTAATTATTACACTGAAGTTACTTTGCAAAGACTTGTTTATTGCATTCTCATACAGCTTTTTCTGTATATGACTTTCAGCTGCTTCTCCGATAACTCCAGATTGATAACCCAAGAGGGATTTCAGCATCGTCTGAAATGGATCAGCTGTAAGAGGGAAAAGGGTGACATTAAACAATACTGTCTTAAAGTGACATTAAACCCTCAGATTTTGTAACATAAAACAATACTGTAATGTGCGCCTTACTGTAATCCATGGTAGTTTCCCTTCTCTTTGCTGATCTTCCTTTTAATCCGTATCTCTTCTCATGCTGGGGGAGAACTTCTGTTTTGCAGCAGACTGCCTTGTCTCTGAAATGGATACATGGTGTCTGTGTGTAGGTTCACAACCTGAGCTAGCACTACAGGAAGAGGCACTCAGTTGCAAAGGGAAGTTCTCCCCCAGCATGAGAAGAGATACGGATTTAAAAGGAAGAGCAGCAAAGAGAAGGGAAACTACCATGGATTACAGTAAGGCACACATTACAGTATTGGTTTATGTTAAAAAATCTGAGGGTTTAATGTCACTTTAAGCATCTAAAAGCAGCAATACTTGAAAGTTGTGTTTTATGGAAAGTACTTATTTAAGTATATCTAAATCCAAGAGCAAAACCTGAATAAGCTGCAGCTTAACAGTCCTTAGACGTAGTGTCTGCATTGGTTTTCTTTTTTCATGATAACATTGCGTGCAAGTATACAGAAATACCTGTTGATCTTGCCAGAATTCCAGTGTACTTGCAGCTTCCAGCTACTGAACTGAAATTTCAAATCAATGTTATCAGCTTTCCCAGCTATCGTCTGTCAACTATGAAACAACTCCCCTCTACAACAGCGATGAGAAGAGAGGTGGGTGTTTGTAGACCATAGGACTGCAGCCTAGGGTGACAATGCTGTTCCTTTTTAGATCATCATAGCACAAGAAATGTGCTACTGGCAGGATCACCAGGTAAAAATTAAGGAAACAATCCGCCCAAAAAAAAGAAAACAAAAATGCAGCCACCACATCTAAAAGAAGTGGTAAGCTGCAATATATAATTTTTGGGGGGTTTAGGTGCACGTTACACCTAACAATCCTCTGGTCATCCCAAAAATCCAATGCAAACAAGGCTCATGCTGTAAAAACCACTGCAAGTCAATGTTATGCTATTTGCTGCAGGGATAGCACCAAGTTACAATAAGTGTGCTTAAAAGGAGAACTATGGGGTCAGTGTTTTTCCCCATAATTCTCCTTAGGGTAACGGGAAGACACAAACTAGCGTCCTCCCGGTACCCTAAGCTCAGTATACCGCGAGCTACAGCTCGCGGTATACTGAGACGCCGCAGCCGGAGCGGATCCCGACATCGATGTCGAGATCCGCCCAGCTGCGTGAGCGACAGCTGGCTCTGCCTATCTAGATCCTATGTACTCGCCCCTCCCCCGTCCGTTCCGCCAGTCAGCGCTGGCGGATCGGAGCGGGGAGGGGTGAATCCAGCCCCTCCCCTGTCACGGCAGAGAGCCGTGACAGGATCGAGAGGTGAGCGAACGCCGGTATCTGTTCGCTCACCTCCCGATCTACTGAGCCGACCTGTGACAGTCTCATTGTCACAGGTCGGCTAGAACTATGAGGTGAGTGGTTCTCCTTTAACTTATGGCCTTATGTATCAAACTGCTCTAAGAAGCAGCCATAGTTATCCTCAGCCAGTTACTTATCCTTAACACGCATACAAAAAAAACAAAACATACTCACATGTTCTGTTAGGATTTATATGTTGCTTCAGGAGGTCTAAGGATCCAAGACTTACTACAAGTCTACGACCAAACCAGAAAGAAGCAACAGGTCCAAACTTCTCATGTAAGTTGACCAGGAATTCATGCAAACTTCCTGTATTTACAATATCTTGCAGATTTCCATCTCTGAAAAAAAACAGAAACATCAAATTAAAAATATATATGCATGGAAACATAAATCAGATGTACCTTATAAATTATATTATTGCTAACTAGTACAATTCTATTAGACACATTTTCCCAAAATGACTGCAAACTTAGAATATCTGCATAATAATCCTAGTTTCTGTCTGCTTGTAGTATTATTTTAGTTAACAAATCAGCTATAACCAGACAATTATTACCACCACGTGAACAAATAGACACTAGATCATGTATGTCAGATACCTAGAAATCTGTCAGACATTGATGCCATGATGACATTTCTGATCCAGCTGAACCCTTTGGTAGAATTTAGTAAGTGGCCTATTGTTCCAAGAGAAGTGTCTGCTATGCACAAAAAGTGTACATGTACTCAAGATCTAAAATCACTGACTTGGTCCAATCATGTCAAATGGATATAGAAAGTTTGTGTAGACGTATCACCCATCTGACCTCAATCATTAACCACTTGCTGCCCAGAGCAATTTCTTACATTTGCGCACACATGATAAAATCTGAATTTTTGGCTAGAAAACAGCTTCAGACCCCCAAACAATGATATATTTTCTGAAAGCAGAGGCCCTGTAGAATAAAAAGATGCCAGTTGCAAGGTATTTGCACAAATGTTTATCAAACAAGTATTTTTAGGATAAAATACACTAAAATCCAATTTAGTGCACAGAAACAAAATATAATACCCAATTTTTTGGTAAAATATAAAAGACGGGGGTCACGCCAGGTAAATAGATACCAAACATGCCAAGACTTAAAATTGCGTGCCTTCATGAAACCGCAAAAAACTACATTACCCAAAATTGGCCATAGGCGACGCTTTAAACGCTTTTACGGCTTATCAGTTTATTGTTAACAGTGATTGATGGGCCTAGAATTATCATTCTCACTCCGACGCTCGTGACAATATGAAACATGTGTTGCGCGATTTTTGTTTTTGCACGTAGGGGCATGCATGTGGGGGGCGGGGGACTTGAACATTTTTTTTTTGCATTTTTTATATGTTACTTTAATTTAAACCATTTTTTTTTCTTACACTCAGCTTTATCGCTATCGCAATAGCAAAACCAATGTGACAGGTCTTTCAGACCCTTAATGTCTCCTAGGGACCCCAAAGAAGCTAATGAAGCAGAGATCTGCTTCACTAGCTTCTTCTTCTGGCTCCAGGAGCCGGAGAATGTGCCCAGTGATCAGAGGAGAGATCAGCGGCTGAAAGCCGCTAACTTCTCCTCCGATCCATCAGGGGACACCCGCTGTACTGGTCCCGGGCTCACACGGGGGACAGTGAAGCCTGGGAGGCCGACGGCGGCACCGGCAGAGGGGGGTGACACGCCGCAGCACCATACAAGTGATCCGGCGCCTGTACAGATGCCGGATCACTTGTATTTAAACAGAAATCGCCGGCTGTTTAAAACGGTACCAAGAACACTTCTGCAGCAGCCGCGTTCTTGGTATAACCACTTCCAGCGGAGGACATACATTTACGTGAACCCACTGGAACTGGTTTAAAAAAAAAAAGTGAGTGGATCTTTTCAAAATGCACCGATACCAGTTTTTCTGCATCAAGTACGAGTACTGATATTTTTTTTATCGCCACTCTCCAATACAGAGTACCGATACCGGCATCCCGGGGTAGCGTGGGCCCGGCTTCCTGGACAATCAGGAAGCCGACGAGGGAGCATGAAACCAGCATCCCTAGGAATCAGGAAGCTGGTAAGCATGTCATGACCCACCACCTGGCTTCTTGAATGGCTCCATGCTCCCTGGCGGCACTGCCAGTCAGAGTATATCTCCCTCTAACCGGAAGTTACAGTATCAAGGTAAGTGCATTTAGGCAGGTACGAGTTTTGCTCAGTTTTGGTGCATCCCTACTTTACCTGATGAAAATGATGAACAAGGTTCGTCCTCTTTTTTTGTGGGTTAAGCAGGGGTAACAAGTTAAGAATCAGAAGAGATAATCGGGAGAAAATCATGAATGGTGATTATTACTAGCCCTGGATAACTTACTTCTCTTCTGTAGGAGCAAGCCCGGGGATACCACATGCTTGCCTGGAAGACTGAAAGGGAAAAATACAAGCTGATTAAAAAACAGAGTTTTCTTGTTTACATTTGAAGGGATGAAGACATTGTGAAAGTGCAGCTAAAGCATCTTTTCCTGCGCTGATACACACTGAACTCAATCACTGGGGACAGGCCCTTCATGGGGAAATGCAGCACACCACAAAGCATGCTTCATTCACATTTACACAGTATATATCATTTGCATGATGTAAAGAAAATGAAAAACAAAAAGCAGAGTAGTAGTACAAGAATACTTGGACAGCAATAAAGACATGGTCAGGAATTCTAAACCTTCCTCACTAAAAATGTGTTTTTATGTGTTCTTCCCGGTTGGATACATTTCCTGTCCTGACAGAACATGAAGAGAAATCTCTACACTAGACACACAGACGGCAATAAAAACCTGACAGAAACTTTAACCCTTCCCTGCTCTATCCAAAAGGAAATACATGTTTATGGTGGGAGTTGGACCTAAAGAATCCCACCACCGTCTTTTTGTTCTTAAAGCCAATATTCTGGAGAAAACCCTGTGTATGTTTGTCTTGCTCTCATGTGACACTTATTGTCTAGAAAAAGAGAATAAACTACTAATTATAATTAATCTGCTTACACAACTAGCTTGCATTCAGTATATATGAAGTTAGGCAAGGCTCAGGGAAGACCGCGGGGAACCGCATAGGGTGCCTGCGGGGAAACGCACAGGAAGACCGCGGGGAAACGCATAGGGTGCCTGCGGGGCAACGCATAGGGTGCCTGCGGGGCAACGCATAGGGTGCCTGCGGGGCAACGCATAGGGTGCCTGCGGGGCAACGCATAGGGTGCCTGCGGGGAAACGCATAGGGTGCCTGCGGGGAAACGCACAGGAAGCCCGCGGGTAACGCACAGGAAGCCCTGTGGAAACACATAAGGAGCCTGCGGGAAAACGCACAGGAAGCCTGCGGGAAAACGCACAGGAAGCCTGCGGGAAAACGCACAGGAAGCCTGCGGGAAAACGCACAGGAAGCCCAGTGGGAACACATAAGGAGCCTGCAGGGAAACGCACAGGAAGTCTGCAGGAAAACTTACAGGAAGCCTGCGAGAGAACGCACAGATGTCTGCAGAAAACACAGATGTTTGGGGGAAAACGCACAGAAGCAGGACATTTCCTTCTCTCCCTGTAAGAACACTGTGAATATGTATAAATAATGTGATTTGCACATATCACGCTCAGTTGCCTACTTACAACATAAGGGTCTATTCAGAAATGTTTTCACAAAAGATTCACAACTTTCACCCAAGATTCACACATTTGTCTATTGCAATGTGTGAAAACAATGATGGCATTTGTGTACACGACTCATTGTAGTCAGTCCAGCTTGAAGTCTCAGTTGTGCAGTAACAGAGCTGCCACATCAGCACCCCTCCCAGCACATATCATCTCCTCTTACCGGGTACAGGTACAGGACTGCTCCCACCAAGATCAGCAGAAAGGTGATGGCGAATATAGCGAAGTCCAGCATCCTCCACTCCTGTACACCCGGCTTACAGCAACAGGCCCTCTACACTGTCAGCTAGCTCTGATCAGCCCGCTCGGCCATCCGCTCCACCTCCTGCCAGCCTGGAGCAATCGATTCCCGGAAGCGTCGTGGAGATCGCAGACGAGTGACACGTGGGTTGTGTGCATTAGGGGCGGTGGAAGCGGCTGGGTACTGAGCTCATGTTAGCAAACAAGACATTATAACGTTTAGGTCAGGCTTAGATAACATATGGAAGTGTAACTGTGCATGTAGTTCCATCGTTTGCATGTGTTATGCTTACTTGTGCAATCGCAGCTCCCAACTGTTGCTCCTTTGGAGGCAAATACCTCTGTCCTTTTTTCTGCTTCAGTTGTCCCTCTTTTTGGTCTGTTGTATAGAGTTCTATGAAATAACAGACAGAAGTGTTATACTGCACTAAGCTGTGCTTCAATGCATTTTACAGTGACACTAAACGCCGGTGTTTATTCCTAAAAATCCATTCAAGTGCCCCAACTATTAACAAAAACGGATCTTATTTGTGTATCACTCAGCTGTAGATCCTCAAATCATCTCTGAATTGGTGCTGACACTGTCCTAGCTTCTGGAGGGTGGCTACTTTTTTTGCCCTTGGTTATGTCATTTAATATTCATTTTAAAAACATTTTTTTTCAAACTTTACCTTAATTGCTTTCACATGGGGAGGGGGGCTTGTAAGTCAACTAAAAGAGTACCTGTCACCACTAATCTGCTATCACATGGGGGGCTTGTAAGTCCCCCATGTGATAGCAGATTAGTGGTGACGGGTACTCTTTTAGGTGATGCTGGGGGTCCAAAAGACTCCTAGTATCACCTTTACACTTGAAATAAGCTATTGAAGTGCAGATCGCACTTCAATAGCAAGAGGGGG